TAGTATATATATATATATATATAAACTAGTTTATTTGTAAGGAGATAGTTTCGAGTCTTGAGTCTTGACTCGTTTATGTAGCAGTATAAATAGAGAGCAAATGACATCCATAAGCACTGGCATCCATAAGCACTGACATCCATGAGCGGATTGGACAGAATACACCATAAACATCCTTGAAAGTACCAAGGTACAAAAGATCTGGAATAGCGTTCGTGCCTTGTTTCTACCACCTGCAATACGAGAGTGTAATAAATCTTTGCATCGCATTCGCATGTGTATACTATATACAAAAGTAACAACATATACGTGGAGATGGCTTCAGTGCACACCCGCAACGAAATGCCACCTCCATCACGCCGTAGATTGGTGCTGAAAATCGCCGCCGTGTCCCGGTAAGTCTGATCAGAAGCTTCTGTGTATATACGTCCTGCATCTCCATCGATACGTTGACTATCATGAACAACATCAGGCTCGGAAACGAAAATAGGGTCCCTCAAAATCCAGCCACCCGATGTCCAACTGATATTTTGTGTGTCGGCACATTGAACACTCGAGAGTTGAAAATCGATGCAAGCTGTGAGAAGGCTGCTACAATACGTATACACAGATCAATGAAATACTCATACTCTTGCACACGGGTGTTAAGTGCAAGCTGTGCGAAGCCTGCTTAGAATCTACAGATGGATGGATAATGAATCACGCACTCTCGACACACGATAGTTTAATGTAGGCTGCACGACAGCTGCTTAAAAGCTATATACAGATTGTGCGAATACCTCTCGCATACACGAGAGCAAAAGATAACATAAATCGCTTGTATAACACGACATACCCACACGAGAGTTTAGTGCAAGCCCTATGATAACTACATCATTCCTACACCAGATTGGTGTATGAATATATATGTATGTGTGAATACGCGTGTATATGTAATACACCCATGTGCAATCCACACTCGCGCACACGAGAGCCAAAGCTAGCGTAAGTCAATAAATATATGTATGTGTGAATACGCGTGTATATGTGTTACACCAATATGCAATCAACACTCGCGCACACGAGAGCCAAAGCTAGCGTAAGTCAATAAATGTATGTATGTGTGAATACGCGTGTATATGTGATACACCCATATGCATTCCTAACTCGCGCACACGACAACCAAATCTAGTGTAAGTCACGTGTATGACAAATGGACATTAACAATGGTCACTCACTAAAAGTCGCCCCTGGGGATTCGAATACGGGTGCGGTTGAGCTTTTTTTATCTATATGAGTTCTCACATGTAGACACAGTTGTTCAATGGTATCATATCGCCGCCTGACTGGCGATTGAACTCGGCCTACCTGTACAAAGTCCCTGCATATTAGCAGCATTGTTTCATTGTATCATGCCCTACCTATTGAGAGGATGTTCGTGCTTAGTGACGGCATGGGCATACAGCTTGAACAGGACTGTGCCAGCAAACATCTCACTATATCGACACCTGATTATGTGGAATATATTCTGTCTTAACCGAGGTTTGTGCCTGTTTATTTATAGCGTGAGTGTGCCAGTCATGCAGCTTTGTACTGCGGCATCGGATAGATAGCAGCGACAGAGGTACGGAGAATCGCTGAGTAGTCGTATCAAATGTCCAATTGGTTTGAATACGACCCCCCAGAAGGATTAGTAGCACTCTGTTACTCTGAAGCTGTAATTATTTCAAATTAAACAACGTATATGGAGACCCCTTGTGCTCACTTTAACGCATGTACACCTCGTGTAGTAATGTGTATATATCATGATGCCAAGAAACACATTGGAGTTCTTATATCGAAGTGCGGCAACTTATTCAAGCATAGGACGTCGATTCAAAACAGATATATATATATATGAACATTACAAGTGGAATACGCGCTGTTTGTATCCATACGTGTAGCAGCTATCTGCAATCAAATATATACAGATGTGCGCAAATTGCGCGAGTTTCGCATAAACATATCACAGATTTATAGACATATTTAATATATATGTGCCGTACGGAAACACATCTCACAGACATCCTTGAACATGTGCATCAACGGCGCTTATCTCGAATGTGTACTTCAATTTCTTGCTGTGAATACACATCTCTCGCCATACATATCAGTGTATAGTAATATCTATATGCGTACAGCAAAACTTTAGTTGTGTGCACACAACTATCCGCTTTACGTGATAGTTATGTACCTATATCGAGAATACACTGAGAAGACCTTTTATTGAGTACTCCAGACGAACCAAAATCAGGAAGTACGAATTTCCACTGATCTAATAAATATGTATACCCGCATGTGCGAGTATGTGTGGTATCGAAGGAATACCAAGTCATGTAAACAGCAACCAATCCTGTGGGGCTCTGTGGGTCGTCAAGCAATCTTATGTGTCTGATGGGAGATTGCCACCGCATTCCACAGCTATACGAGATTGTGTATTTTACGGATAGTTGTCACATTGTCGCTGATTCTAGCTGATACTTGTTTTACCACGAATTTTATATGTTAATCACATAGCAACTGATCCTAACTGAAGTATATGTTTTTCTCAGCATCCTCGCAGTGGCAGCGCAGATTGCTGCAGGGGCTTTCGTCCCAGATTACGATACATCCTCCACTTGGTATGTATATGATCCTATATAGCATGAATTAGCGCCCGACATATTCGCCCTCAATTGCATTCTCATACTACCGCCACCGTCTTGCTGTATTTGGGAGTTTGCTAGTTCTACAACATATGTTTTGGCATTGGACCGTCACCATATATTTCTTCAAGTATGCTTTACGAAATCGAGCCAGTTTATACAACATACGGTCAATATAAATTTTAATACCATCCCGATCCGCGTTTGTCCGTCTCCTCGAAAGTCTGGAGCCCGTAGAGAAGCCGTACGATGGAATCGCACAGTCAGTGCTCGCTGGGTTTGCCAGGGTACGTGTGGGCGCGAAATCGGACAATAGAATCGTGTAGTGAAGTTGAGAGATGTCTATGATGCACAGACGTTTGTGTATATCCGTTGTGGACATACTCGTACAAATTTTCCATAAACCTATCGCTCGTGTGTATTCACGCTATGTGTGTGTGTGTGTGTGTGTGTGTATGCGTACAGTTGTCGTACCCATACGATTATCTATCTCTGTGTGTGTGTTCACACAGTTTGTTTATCCATGCGAGTGCTATGTGTGTGTGCGTGTGTATGTGAGTGTATATCCCTATTTTGTGTGGAGGAAATATGGAGGGGGGGGGGGGGGGGGGCGAGAAGAATGTGCCAGCGAACGTTGGTTGATTCTATGATTCATCTTGGTTGCACAATAGGAGTGCATGGATCAACAGCTTGTTGATAAAAAAGTGCTAGATAAACGCCTGTTAGTATTTTGTTGGCCGTTTCAATTGCTGATCTAGCTACTGCCAGATCTTACCCAGTATATTTTGCGTGAGACCGAGTATAGTGACTAACTGGCGCATTCCGATCGATGTCCTCAATCACTAGTGTGGAATGTGGAACTCGAACTTGCGAATATGTTTAGGTGACACTCACGCCGTTTTCCAACACCTTTCCGTGACACTAAGAAAGTGTTGACTGTAGTCGCACTGTGCTTCATTGCTATACTATTCATGGCAACTGAGACCACGCTACCAAGATCCTTGAGTTTAAGTGTAATATCTGATACATTCATTTTACAGTCAAAGATATCATATTGTAACTCGCGGTGTTGTCCTCTCTCTTTGTATGACAGTGGGACGGTGTGTACTTCACCCGCATAGCGCTGTATGGCTACGAGTATGAGCAGTTCAATGCATTCTTCCCGGGTGTCCCCATGGCGATACGGGCTGTTTCCAGTACAGGTGTGTATTGTACGATAATTCATACATTGCATACCAATCTCAAGAGCGTATGTGTGCATATCTCACCATGAATATTATGTATGCACGTTCTCCAAATCACTTTAGTTAGTGAATGTTGCATGACTTTTATCGTTGGAGAGTGTATTTGTGTTCATAGTCCTATGTATAGGTATGCAACTATTTTCTGATGGTTTTGTGATAGTTTGAGCAGTATACGTAGTCACCACGAATTTCTCACCTCGACGCGGATCGTATCTGATATGTGTGTGACCATGTTTTGCAGTCTCGCTTTATCACGATATCATTCCTATTGATCATAAATAGCTGTGACTCTGATACGTTTTGTTCACCCCATAGTGTTAGCACCAGCGCGTGGCTATATCTCCCAGTACTGGATAGCCGTATTGGCTGGGTTGTTGATCGCTAATTGCTGCTTTGTGGCCGCTGCTGATTACCTCTATCGGTAGGTATTTTTAGATATTCCTTACTATTACAAGTCGTAGCGAGTTTTTATGCTTGGTATATATTTTAGCCGAATTGGCTGGGTTGCTGGTCGATATTTACTAGTGTTCAACCATGCTTTGAACGTTGGATACCTCTTCTCATAATTTGAGGATGTCTCGAATGAATCATGGTCATATACTTTGCTGGAGATAGAATATAGAAGCGATTTAATGTCAATACCTGCGAGCAATCCCGTGGTTTATTCACTATCAATTTCACTGCTGTCTCAGGTCAATTCCTCTGTTTAATCAAAAAGTACACTTGACTGAAACTTAAAAGCTACTCATTGACTAAGTTCTATATATGTATACGTATATACAGGCTAGCCATATTGTTAACCAAAGATGAAGTGATAGCCTTCCGCAGTGTGGTTATGTTCATTGTCAACCCTGCGTCTGTGTTCATGTCGAGCGTCTACACGGAGAGCCCTTTTGCTTTGACCACATTCGCAGGATTGTACTATCTGGAAGGCTCGCACTTCCTGCTATCGGGGTTGTGTTTTGCTCTGGGGAGTGGTATAAGAGGTGAGGTGTATGTAGATCTATATGTATACCTTGGCACTTCTTCACTGCGTCGAGATTACTCGCATTACAAGTGGGAAAACGGACAGTGCTTAATTTACGTCTTGGTCTCTGGCTGATTTGATTGCCTGTGATTGAGTTGTGCTGCTCTTGAACTTAGTCTACCACACTTCAAGCTATAGTGTCATTTTAAATTTTGCACCAGAAAATTCCTTCTCCTGAAGATAGGAACTTCTGATGGGATGTACCATGTATAGATCGAGCACCAAATATGACGCTAATCTACTACTTCCAACATACCCTCGGATAAACGCTCAGAAAGTGTACGCTCGCGCGCGTATGTGTAGAGTCGGAAGCTAGTTCTTATGTTCTCTTGTGCCACGAAGATGAGTATTTGTCGAGCTTTCATGAATTGTTTATGCATGCTTCCTCATGCGATGAAGGTGTTCATCCTTATACGAACCTATTCCAAAACACACGGTTAACATACTCTGACCAGGTAACGGGATTGTCAACGCGGGATTTCTGTTATATGCCATTGGTACCGAATTTTACAACAGGCGCTACTTCCGGCTCATCGGGTTGTCTCCATGCTTCCTCGAAGTAAACAGTATATCGAAGACAGATGGAACATCTTGTACAACCAATACGCTCGCTGATAGTAAAGATGAGAATACGAAGTTGGGGCGGGAAGGGACGGTGAATAGGCGGTATGTATTGGCTTGCCTTTGTCTATTTGTACGGAAACTGTGTATGCAGATAGCGATCGTGTGTGTGTTTGTACAGAATATGTTTTGTAGTGTGGATGCAAAGTTTTCGGTCAAAAATGTGTATGTTTGTATGTCTTAAACTTGGGCTAGATGGGCGTGGTTTCATGATTACGATATACCAGACGAGGTATGCATTCTGTCACCTATTCCAGATGAAATACCTGCAATCGCACAAGCAATCAATGATAAGATGTATCAAAATAATCGACGTCTTGGTGGCAAAACTACTGCATATATTAAAAGATTTCCTCCGCTTATGTGTATGCATTAATATGTATCAATACAAATTGCCCGCCCACACAATATGTGGGCTATTCCCTACTTTCGGAACGCACGAAGTCTGCATTCTGTCCACTATTACATAGGAATGTCATACTGTAACGCTCTTTAACAATTAGCTATTTGCTCGTACCCTTCAGTGTATGTAGGGACCTCTCACTGCACTCCCAACCAAATAATCCAGCGGTCGCACCTTCTGAAACATATAATGTTGGTGTATGCAAGTATGGAGAATACAACATACGAACGTACGCATATGTGGGCGGTGCAGTATCGAAGTTAGCACATGGTGAAGAAGGTTGCATGTGCAGTGAGACGATGCATAAACTGGGTTTTCCACAATCACACTCAGACAATTGCGTCAGAGAATTTAGTTGGTATATGTACAAACTCACGTACTGATATCCCAAACATATATCACACCTCACATAAAACACAACTCTCACCCATATGCACGCTAGTTTGTGCAACTACTCTCTTGCCCTTCGTTCTATTTCAGTACCACGGCTACACTCAGCAATGAATGCTGCACAGAAACACGCCTTCATTCTGTGCAAAGCACACTATACTGCAATTGTACTCGTTCGTACCCGCTTTATACACGCACTAACACTCAACACAACCCTCATATATCTCACATACAGTAAGAGTCTGACACGCCTCACGCTGGCCTGTGCAACCACCCTCCTGCCGTTCGCCCTATTCCAGTACCACGGCTACTATCAGCAGTGTGTCCTTCACCAGACTCCAAGCCCATACTGTACACAGGACACCACACTGCTGCTCTACTCGTTTATCCAGAAGCACTACTGGAACAACGGGTTCTTGACCTTCTGGGAGTGGAAGCAGGTACCGAACATTGCGCTGGCAACGCCCTTGGCGGCGCTGTGTTGTGGGTTGGTGTATACCTACACGGCACACGTACGGGGACACCTGCAGGTCACTCACGCCAACACCGCCGAGGATAAGACAAACACCACTTATATACAGCGCTTAACACACTACATGCTAAGAAGGGATGATCCTGCACGGCGTGTGAGCATCTCAGTGTGTACAGCGACGCCCATGGATTGGAGGGCGAGTCCCCGGTTGTGCGTGTATGTTGCGCACCTGGCCTTCCTGGTGGCGTTTGCGCTGGGGTTCATGTATGTGCACTGTATCACACGCTTCATCGCGGCTTCCACGCCTGTGGTATACATCCTGGTCGCACAGTCGCGCGACTGGGCAGACGTGTGGGTGGCGTATGGGTTGGTGTACTCAGTGTTGGGTGCCTGTCTCTTTCCTAACTTCTACCCATGGACCTGATGTGTCTCTATCTTGGCTTGTGCCCCTGGGTCGGATTGTGTGTTCAAAGGTGTAGAAAATTTTATGCATCACATGTGATTGCCTCCAGCAACACGACACGTGCGTGAAGTATAGGAATCCGAAGCGTCTCTTAAGCTAGCCTTCTTGATTAAGTTTCCCGACGCGGGGGCTCTAGGTACTGAATATTTGGTATACATCCGAGCTAGCATCCAGATGCGTTTATCGCTGAGCAAAAAAAATGAATGCTCGGCTAGGTAGCGTTTCTTTACCCGAGCTATCTGCCATCCATTTGTAAGATGGGCTGAGGGAGTCTTGAACTCGTGGTACGTACCCAACCCAACTACAGTATTGAGATAATCGCGGAGAAGCATTCGACGGAAAGCTCAGTGAACAAACGAACTGAATTTAGCATGTGAGACTCGTAGAGAATATTATTAGGAGCGTCAAACCCTTGGCGCTTATCTTGCTGTATAGGCGAGTGTTCAATACGTGCGCAGAACACCGGATGGTGATGCCAAACATTGTTATCGCAACATTCCGGTCGAAACTAAGTTAATATTGTACACCAATTCATCTAGTGTCTATTATCACTATAGGGTTTATCAATACTCAACTGATATATAACGACTAGCACCTGCAACAAACACATATAGGTGTAAACAAACAAACGGCGACACATCAACATCCATAGACATTCGACCATCTGATTCGCTGACTTAACAGCCGTTTGTCCAACTACGGAACCAGCCACATGCAATTGAGGCAGATCCTGTCAAACAGCTCGCATCATGTCTTTTCCCTGGGTAAACAGCACACGTACCCGAGTAATATTGTTTACCAGTATGAAAGGAAGGACTTCCGTCTGTAAAATCGCTATCACATCCAAAGAGCATAGTTTATAAACTTAGCTTTTGGCTACACAATCATCGTTTTCGATGCTGAGTTTGATGTAGCGTTCATCATGTACTCCATCATTGATCGCCAAGAGCGTAACTTTATTACAATATTCGTGCTTATATTCGTCTGATTGTGTGCTGTCTACCGACCATACTGCACTATTATGGTAAGTATTTATATATTTGCTGTGCATCTAATTATTATATTTCGAATCTTCCTCCATCTGCACCTCATCAACCACCGTCCAGGGTCCGCTGCTAGTTGATACGTAAATTCGTAATTATCTATAGAAATTCACTCTAAAATTTATCCAACTACCGCCCGCATAATCACATATATGAATCTGTATGTATGCATAAATGTATACACAAATACTGATACGTACACATAATCACAATTACATATGTACGTATGTATGTATGTATGCGTGCATGCATGTATATGTATATGTAT